ACACTTTAAATCCGGGCTGTCTGTACAATAAATTGGCCTTTTTCCCCCAAAGAGCTCCGTGTGTGTTGCTGTCCTTTCTCTCTCTTTGCAGCGCAGTAACCACACGTGAACACCTGGAAAGAGCTGGAATTCCACCATGAAAAAAGGTGGAATTGCAACTTTGAGGGAGCTGCCTGGAGCTGAGCCTGAAGGTTTGGGCTAAACCTTCCAGTGAATCACCTTCATCTCGGTGATACTGCTGGAAGTGATTCCAGATATTTCGGTGGAAGCTCCCCAGCTCCGGGCTCGGATCGGCCCCGCCCAGTGCTGACTCCCGGCTGTGAGCTCTGCCTGCCTCCCTCCACCCCACGGAAAACCTCTCCCCTCGCCTCCATCTGGGAAGGGAGAGCAGCCCCAGCCCCGGAGGGGACGGGGGGTCCAAGCTCCCCCGGCTGCCCCGGGGTGAGGGGACAGGGCTGGGACAGGACGGTGACACTGCTCATTAGCCGGGCTTCAGTCAAAGTCTCCCTCCCTGCCTCTAATGGCTCCAATTAGATTAATCAGGAGCTGGCAGGAGCTGCCCGATCGGTGCCAATGAGTAAACAAATCTCAGCCATCAACGTCCTGTCAGCGGCGGGCCCCAGAGGAGCCCCTTCCACGCACCAATCCTGATTAGACTTGGCAGATCCATTAGAATTCCCTTCACGCTCCCGCGTTCCATCACCGGCATCATTAACACGGCCCCGGCCTCTGGGAGCGGCGGCTCCGCCGGCCCCGCTCCCTCCGGGCGGGATGGAGCGGTCCTGGGAGCTGGAGGGATCCCGAGATAACCCAGCGGGAGCAGTACCGGGCTCGGGAATGGATCCCGGGATAACCCAGCGGGAGCAGTACCGGGCTCGGGAATGGATCCCGGGATAACCCAGCGGGAGCAGCACCAGGTCTGGGAATGGATCCCGGGATAACCCAGCGAGAGCAGGGAATGCTCACTGTGGTGCCTCCACGTTCCCAGGGTTCTGCTCTCACCCACAACTTCCCCGCTCCTCTCCTGATGTTTCCGGGAGCCCCGGGAGGGGCTGGCCCCGAGGGGCTGCAGGGAAGCAGGGATTTCTCTCCGGGTGTGTGAGGGTGGCTCTGTCCCTGCCGTCACCCACGCTGGGTGCTGCTGGGGGGAGCAGTTGGAGCCCCAGAATCCTGGAATCGTCACGGGGTTTGGAAAAGCCCACTGAGATCATCGAGTCCAGCTCTGAACCCAGCACTGCCTGACCCCAAACCCTGTCTCCGAGCACCGGATCCATTTTTGGGGACAATCCTAGGGATGGCATCTCCGTGGGCAGCCCATACCTGAGCAGCCTTTCCATGCAGGAATTTCCCCCAAATCCAACCTGGACCTCCCCTGGGGCCCTTCGGGGTCGTTTCCTTTTGTCTCATCCCTCAGAGCCCGACATCCCTCAGCTCCAACCTCCTGCCAGCCTGGGAATTCGATGGGAATTCGAATCCCACCCTCCCGAAAAACCCCAAATATTCCTTCCTGTGCCAGTGGGAAGAGTCCACAGGCACTGGGGGATCCCAGGCCAGAAATCAGGGATGAGGTTTGTTGGTTTAATGGAGCAGAAGCCAAAATAAACCCTGATATTTACAGAAGGTGCTCTGCGTGTTTGTTTGTTTGTTTAAGCGAGAGGGAAAGCGAGGCTGGGTTTATTTTTGTAAAACCGGGAATAAGGAGAAGTGGGAGGAGATGAAATCTCTGCAGGCCAGGTCCTGAGGCCACCAAAGCCACGGAGCTCTGATTCCCAAATCCTGAGTTTGTCCCACAGAACCTGCCCCAACACCAGAACCCCCATTCACATCATTTATATTGATAAAATTATATTTTATATATACCATTACATGACATGTAATCCAAATGATACTTTGCATCATGTAATTAATATATTTTATCACCTAAAAAGAGTTTGATGCTCTTGTGCTGCATTAGAGAAAGAAGGAACACCTGATCTCAATAAATGACCTCGTGGGGGTCACCTCAGGCTTTAAACAGAATTTGGAGGGAAATGAAGAATCCAGAAGGAGGAGAAGGAATTGGAATTATCTGCAAAGCACGACAAGCACCGGGAAAGGCAGGAAAAAACCCTCGTTATTCCAAGGTCAACTGCACGTGAGGGGCTGCTCTCACCAGCACTAATTACCAAGGCAAACTGCAGAGAGCTCGTCACCAACGGGGTGACAGAAATCGGCACCGGGGCCCAGGAAACAACACAAAAATTCCTGCGGCGAAGCGAGACAAACCCTCCTTTCTCCTTCCCCCTCTCTCCCAAACGCAGCTCGTCCCCTTATTTTATTTTTTACACACATGGGTGTGACTAACGCCTCGCCCAAGGGAATCTTTATTGGAAATACATGGTATCGGAATTTGTTTAAGATTTTTATCAATAGCACGTGTGTCCAGCCCCGCATCCAGAAGCGAGGGGAAGGTCGAGGGGTCACAGATCAAACTCCCGACAAACAAAAAGAGGAGGGGCGGGGGGGCCGCTATTGATCCCGTCTGCCGCCACAGCCGGTTCTCATTGAGGCCGCGGCGTTCAGGACATGAAAGGGCTGTGACGAGAGCGGGGCCGGAGCCGCGGCCGAGGGAGGAAAGGTCAGCGAGGACACGCGGGGGCAGCGGGAGCGCGCCCGCAGGAAGAGGATGCACCTTTAACCCTCGCGGGGTCAGCGGCGCTCCGAGCGGCCGGGGCAACGCGGCAGGTGAGAACAGCCTGGCCGCCAGGGCTGTCCCTGCCACCTGGCCAGGGCTGTCCCTGCCACCTGGCCAGGGCTGTCCCTGCCACCTCCCACGGCTGTCCCTGTCACCCCCGGCCGCCAGAGCTGTCCCTGTCACCTGGACAGGCTGTCCCTGTCACCCTTGGCCGCCAGGGCTGTCCCTGTCACCTCCCAGAGCTGTCCCTGTCACCTGGCCAGGGCTGTCCCTGTCACGTCCCACGGCTGTCCCTGTCACCTGGCCAGGGCTGTCCCTGTCACCTGGACAGGCTGTCCTTGTCACCCTTGGCCAGGGGGGCTGTGCCTGTCACCGGCTGTCCCTGTCACCTGGACAGGCTGTCCTTGTCACCCTTGGCCAGGGGGGCTGTGCCTGTCACCTCCCAGGGATGTCCCTGTCACCCCCAGCCACGAGGGATGTCCCTGTCACTTCCCAGGGCTGTCCTTGTCACCCACCGGCCAGGCTGTCCCTGTCACCCGGTAGAGACAACACCTGGGCTGAGCTGTCCTGTCCAAGGCACAGGCTCAGGATCCCAGTCCCATCTCCCAGGACAGGCTCAGGATCCCAGTCCCAGCTCCCAGGACAGGCTCAGGATCCCAGTCCCAGCTCCCAGGGCAGGCTCAGGGTCCCAGTCCCAGCTCTCCCAGAGCCCCAGCCCAGCTGACAAACTCAATTCTGTAGGAAAAGCTCCGAGCCCTGGCCTGGGGAGGGCAGGGCAGGGCAGGCAGGGACACCCTCAGCTTGGCTTTACAAATCCCAGGTTTCCCCTGGCTGAGCCAGTCCTGGTGTTTTTGGAGCAGTGAGAACTGGGGAGGGAGAAGGGGCTGGGGATTGCCCTTTGCTGATGGGGAAGGTTTCACCTAAAACATTTCATCGAGGCTTTTGGATTTGGCTGTGAGGGGAGGAGCAATCCACGAGCAGTTTCCCTTTTCCACCTCCAGCAGGACAAACTCCCACGGGTCTCACACCCAACAGACAGAATCTGGGTGTAGAAATTGGTGTATCCAATTACAGAAATGCTGTAGGAATTGGTGTATCCAGTCCCCCATCCCCTCCCTCCCTCCTGTCACTCCCTGGGAAGTGGCAATTCCTCCCAGCACTTACTCTGGCCATACTGGCCGTACTGGTAGCCGGCCACGGGGTCCACGCTGTAGCTGGTGGTGCTGTAGGTGGGGGGACAGTAGGACTGCGAGGTCGGGAGGCTCTCCACGGACTTGATGGAGTCGCTGCGCTGGCTGCAGCTGGCCGAGATGGAGTTGGTGCTGTCCAGGCCGCCGTGGAGGGGAGAGATGGAGAAATCAGCCTGGGGCTGAGGAGGGACCCCGCTGGGGTTGCTCAGGATGCTCATCACCTGCAGAGACACCGGAGGCACCGTCAGGGCCCGGGGGGAGGAAAAAAGGACACAAAAAACGGGGTTTTGGGATGGATAGGGACAAAAAAACGGGGCTTTGGGATGGACAGAGCCTGAACGGGGCTTTGGGATGGAGAGAGGCACAAAACCGAGGCTTTGGCATGGACAGGGACAAGAAAAAACAGGGCTTTGGGACGGACAGAGCCTGAACGGAGCTCTGGGATGGACAGAGCCTGAGTGGGGCTTTGGGATGGACAGAGCCACAAAAAGGGAGCTTTGGGATGGACAGAGGCACATAAATGGGGTTTTAGGATGGACAGAGCCTGAGTGGGGCTTTGGGATGGACAGAGCCCAAACGGGGCTGGCAGGGTGGGAGAGCCGAGCTCTTCTCCCACCAAACCCCGCTGGTAGCCCCGGGGCTCTCCCTGGAACCCTGAAGAGGGAGGATGGAGCAGTTCCTCCTCACCCACTCGGGTTTTTGGGGATGTCTTGCTGCCCTGCCAGGAATGAGCACAGGAAAGGCAGGGGAAAAGTCCCAATTTTCCCAAAGGGACACTGAGGACAGCCCCGTTCTTGGGAAGGCAGATTTGCAAAGGTCCCCAAGCGAAGCAGATCAAACTCTTGCTGGCTTTGATGCAGCTTCAGGGGCTGAAATGTCCGAGTTCTCTTTGCCCCCAAATGTTAAAGGGTAACAGGTCCTGGTCCTGCTCATTTCAGTGCTCTCTTGGAAAATGTAATTAAATTTGCACACAAAAAAATCTTCCTGCTTTGAGACCTGAACCAGATTAACTAATTGGGTTTTTGTTGGTGTTTTGGTTTTTTTATTCCTTTTTTTTGTTGTAGCAAAAATGCCAGATTTGTTCCCGGGGCTGAGCTGAGGGGAAGGCTCTGCCCTTCACACGGGGGATCAGCAGAATTTCCCCGGGGTAATTCCGAGTTAAGGGTGGAAAGGGCTCGCAGGGGAAGGTTCCTGAAGCCTCTCGGTCGTGTCGGGGCTGGGGCGGGGGGAGAGGGGACAGGGGACCGAGGGTCACCTCGGGGGGCCCGGCCGGCGCTCAGATGCCGAGCGGCTCCAAATCTCCGAATTTAGCATAACCTTATTGACATCAATTAAAGTGGCAAATTGGAAATATTTGGAGCCTGGCAAGTGGTAAAATGAGCCCTTTATCCGCCAGCAGCGGCCTGGTGAGCTTTTGTGCCGGGGCTGCATTCTCGGGAAGGACACTGGGGGGGTTTCATGGGGCCGGGGCTCCCCTTCCTGCTCACCCCGACACCTTCCCGGCCCCCCTCCCTGCCCCAGCGGGCTCCGGGGTGAATGCCCAGCCACGAGCTGGCCCCTGCTTTCTAAAGCATCTCCTCCTCCCCCCGGAAGGGCTCGGGAGCGCTGCAAAGATGCTTTGCCTTGATGGAAAATCCTCCCCGCTCCCGGGAGGAGAATTTGTCCGGGAGGGGAATTTGGGAGCGGGGAGGGGTGGCCGGACCCCCGCAGAGGGGGAGGGGGTTGGTTAAAATCCTGGAAAATCCATCTAAGTCGGAGGGCGGGATGGACTGGGGTGTGGGGCTGGAGCACGGGAATGAGGTCTGAGTGAGGGAAAGGGCTCGTCCGCCCCCAGTCCAGGCTTGTCCCCCCTAGTCTGGGCTCGTCCCCCCCTAGTCCGAGTTCCTTTCCCTGCCCGGTCCAGGCTCTTTCCCACCCTCCCCCATTCTGGGCTCCTTTCCCCCCTCAGTTCGGGCTCGTCCCCCCCAGTCTGGGCTCGTTCCTCCCCCCCCCAAGTCCGGGCTCATTCCCCTCTCCAATCCAGGCTCGTTCCCCCCCAGTCCGGGCTCACTGACCCCTCCTCCTCCTGCCTTTCCACCCTGCACCGACCTCAGACTTCTCTACTTCTTCCCAAAAGTTAAACCCGGCTCAGCTGTCTCCACACCGAGCCCAGCTCAATCGGCTCTGCGGAGCCTCCAGCACAGCTCGGGGCAGGGATTCAGCCCCGCGGTGCCTCCATGAAGATGCTCAGCCCTAAAAATGTGCCCGTGGGGCCCCCTGGCCGTGCCAGCCCGAGGACTGCGGGATGAAGAGAGGAAAGTGCATTGAACGCTCAGGAGAGTGGATTAATCCAGGACTGGGGACTGTGCTGTCCTGGGGGTGCAGCACGGACCCCTCCCCCTCCAAGCTCTGCAGGAGCGGGGAAATCACGGCAGGGCAGCCTGGGGGGCTCCTCCAGCGGAACAGTGATTTGTGGGCTCCCCCTAAAGAGCTGTTCAGGTTCAGGGAGGGAGAGCTCCGGGCTGGAGCATCCCCTGGGCTGGAGGAGCTGGATCTGTGTCCTGAGGGACACCCAGGACCCTCACACCCGACACGGCTGGGGTGAATCCACGAACAGAACTGGGCGTTTAAAACAACAAACACACGAAAACAGAAAACACCGACACGGGGATTGTGACTTATTTCTGCAACTGTTCCCTTCCTCCTCGCTGCTCCTGAGCTGTCCAGGCCTGGAAGTGCTGCCCGGCCGGGATGTGAGCCCAGCCCAGCCCTGCAGGTGCAGAGAGGATTTTGAGCGCTGGAAAAAGACTGGAATCACTCAGGGAGCAGCGGGGTTTGTGCTGCTCTCCCTCCCGGCCACGGCCCCGGCGGTGCCTCAGCTGCTTTGTATTACCCCGAGAAAAGAAACGGCTCCCCAAGCCAGCGAGAGCCACTTTAACACTTCCTTTAGGAAAAAAAGGGGGATGTAAAGCAAGGCTGGCAAATGAAACCCAGATTCACACTCCAAATTCAGGAAGCGGGGCAGATGCTTCCACAGATCCTGCTGAAAAGAGGAATTGACTTTAATCAATGAGAATCAGGAGCGGTTCCTGGTATCAGCTCTGCCCCTGGAGTCACTCCAGGCTGGCCTCAGCTCCACCAGCCCCAGCCCTGTGGAGTTCCCAGTCCCTGCTCCCCCTCTGGAATCCCTGCAGGGACAGCTCAGCCCGGCCTGAGCCCTCCCTCTGGAATGGACCGGCTGAATTTCCCCTGGAATTCCACGGGGGAGCATCAGGACACCGGGATTCCCTCCCAGGCCTGAATTTCCCCCTGGAATTGCACGGGGGAGCATCAGGACACCGGGATTCCCTCCCAGGCCTGAATTTCCCTCTGGAATTCCACGGGGGAGCATCAGGACACCGGGATTCTCTCCCAGGCCTGCCGGATGGGGAATGGCTGTGTGGCTGGGCAGAGGCTGGGTGGGGAATCCATCCCTGCTGGACACCCTCATGGATTTGGGGTGGCCAAGGGGACCCCAACAGCTCAGCTGAGCCCCAAACCCTCCAGTCCCTCTCCAAGAACGCTGACCATGAGAAGCCTCTGCCCTTCCCAGCCTGGCTGAGAGGGATTTGGGGCTGAAAGTCCCTGACCTTCCTGGACAGGGATTTGGGGCTGAGCTCCCTGAGCTCTGCACAGGTTCAGCTGAAGGCAGATCTGATTTTCCCCATCCCAGGACATGAAGGTGTTTGGAATAATGAAAGGGAACCGGAGATTCCCTTTCCTCCTTCCCAGCCAGCAAGGAAAACCCTGCAGAGCCCTCCTGGGCCACGTTCCCTGACTACTGCTTTCAGCTGGAGAAACTCATTTCCCAGATCACTTCTGAACTCTGGATCCCCTCCTCAAGAATGCAAAGTCCTTCTCCCTTTCCTCTCTGACCTTGCCAGGTTCTAATTTATTACTTCTTGGTGCATTATCATCACTAACTCAAAATCAATACCCACTCCACATCTGCCAGGGTTTATCTGCAGGGGAATCTGCTGCCTGTCCATCAGCAGGACTGACAGCCGTCCTTCCCCTCCCTCTCATCCCTGTCCTCTCCCTTTCCCCTGGCCCAAATCCATCCCTTGGGCTCCCACTCGGGGCTGAGTCCATGCCGGCCACGGGGCCAGGAGCCTTCAGCCTCATCCCTTGCCTTTCCCGAGGTCACCTTTGGGGTGAGGACGAGCAGGGAGAGGAGCAGAGGTCCGGGAATGTCGGGGAGCCCGAGGCTGATGCACAAAGACCCTCCTGGATGAAAGCAGCAGCTCCCCCCTCACCTCCTGCTGCTGCTCCCTCCCTCCTCACCCTCCTCGGCAGCTCCCCCCGCTCCCCCCCGGGACGTTTCATCGCTTTCTCCCCCACTTTAAAAGGAGGGGAGTTAAAAAAATGTAATTAATTCCCTCCATTTCTGAGCTGGCCCTCAGGGCCTGTGGCCGTGGAAGCTGCAGCGGGGGAAATGTGCACCCTTTATGATAAAGGAGGCGGCTTTGGGGAGGGAAGAGCAATTAGGACCTTGCAGCTGGGCAATCAGGATCCGGCTTGGGGCGGGGGTCAGGGGGGCTGAGGGGACCCAGAGATGGGGACAGATAAGAGAGGGACAAGGGGAAGGCAGCCCAAGCCCAGTTTGGTGGCCAGGCCTTGTCCTGGCAGAGCCGGCGGTGGCTCCTGAGAGTCACGGGACATCCCCAGAGTGACCACAGGACAGCACCAGGGTGACCACAGGACATCCCCAGAGTGACCACTGCTCAATCCCTAAGGGACATCCCCAGAGTGACCATGGGTTCCCAGGATCCCCAGGTGACCCTTGTCAGCTCCTGGACACAGTGAGGACACACCCAGGGACATCCAGGGACACATCTGCGGACATCCAGGGAAATCCAGGGACACATCCAGAGAAATCCAGGGACATCCAGGGACATCCAGGGACATCCAGGGACACACCCAGGGACATCCAGGGACACATCCAGGGACATCCAGGGACATCCAGGGAAGGGGCTCCTGGCAGCACCATTCCTGAGCCTGTGGTGCTGCTTTCCTGGGAATGGGGACAAATCGTCCCTCTCATGAAAAGGCTGGGTAAGGGATGGGTTGAACCCTTTTATGCCACACCAGGCAAGAAGCTCTGGGAAATTCTCTGCTGGGGAGGCTGAAATATCCCCGGGTTTCAGCTCCTGGGCTGTTCCCACTTGAGTTCCCTGGGCACGGAAAATCTGCCTGCTGGGAAACCCGCTGGAGCTCCAGGATTTAGGGAGGACAAAACTGTCCCAGTTCCTCCAGGAGGGAACTCGGTCCCTGCCACCCCAGCTCCTCTCCAGGTCATGCCCTGCCCTCTCAGACAGATTTTGGGAGACACCCAGCTCGATCTGTCACATTTTTCTCTCCCTGCTCTGTGCAGGCAGAAGGAAAAACCCTTCCCCACATTAATGCTTTTTGATCTCTCTGGATTCATTTCCACTTGGCGGGAAGAGGAAGAGTCGATTATTCCACACATACATTAAATGGGAACAAAATGAAGAGGTGACTGTAGGACGGCTGAAAGCCGAAGAAAGAGTTAGGAGGAGATAAATACACTTTCCCCAAAGATCTCCACTTGAAAGGAGGATAAATATATGCAAATATGCCCCTAGGTAGGACTAAAATGACTTGTGTAGCAATCACTAACACTGCACTCACAAAACCAAGCAATTAATTTCGAATATTTTCTAAATCACCGCAGCCAGCTGAGCTGGATCCCAGCATTCCAAACCGAGCACCCATTACATTTGCTTTGCACATCCACAGGGTGCTTCACACTTCCTGCACCTGGAAAATCTCTGGTCGGGGTCACTGCAGCTCCTGGCATCCAGTGGCGCTCCCAGCCAGGTTTTGGAGCAAACTGGAGCTTTGTGATGGGGTTGGGGGGCGCTCCTGCGGGTCCTGGAGGTGTTTTCCAAGCCCAGCCATTCCGTCAGCCTCCCTCCGGGGTGGCCTCGCTGGCCTCGAGCACAGCCCTGCCTCTGCCGGGTGCGACCGAGGGTTAAGGTCGGAGCCTCCACTCGGATTTTGGGGGGATTCAAAGCTGGGGCTGCTCCCCAGCCTCGCCCCCCGGGTGTTCACCCCCCTCCAGGAGCCGAAGGGAGCAGTGGAGGAGCCCCAGCAACCCTCGGCTCCTCCTGCTCCGCTGGGGAGCTGCAAAATCCCAATTTCCTACCCCAAACCTCCTCTGGAAAACGCGTGGAGAGCTGGGAACTCTCCTGAGTGCCTGAATCCCGCATTCCCTTCTCCCCATGGGACACATCACAACCTCCAGAGCCGTCCCAAGCAGAGAACAACCAAGCCAGGAACGGCACCGGCGCCTTCCCTTCTATCACACCGCAGAACATTTGGATCTTCTAACACTCTTACAATGTTCTGGGGACATTCAGATGGCACAGTCCGTTTGTTCTGAAATTTTGCTAGAGACATGTCAATCCTCCTGTGAATTTTTGGATCCAAATGCGTTTTGACTTCATTTGTATTTGCACTTGGTTTATCCTGAATTTTTGAGAACTGTTCATGTAGAGTTATGTCAGAAGATGCAAAATAATTTGCTTTAACTTGATGAATAATTGTGATTATTTCCTGAGTAATTGTGATTATTTCCTGGGTTGTTCTTGTGTTACAGATCCCATGTGCTCAAACACCGGATCAACATCTCAGGGACATCCCGGCACCGCGGGGAAGGGGCCGGGGACACGGCAGGTGACAGACATGGAGATGAGCGCCTGTGCCCTACAATGGCCCTGCTCCGCCGCATGGATGGGAATCCGCCCCACGCCGGGGATGGAGAGGGCTCGGGGAGGTGCCGGGGGTGCGATGGAGCCGGGATGCGATGGAGCCGCGGCAGAGCGGAGCCACGAGGAGGAGGAGGAGGAGGAGGAAGAAGAGGAGGAGGAGGGAGAGGAGGAGGCGGTGGGAAGTTGTTACCTGATTGTTCAGGGCTATGGTGAGGTTCCAGCGGGAGCACTGCATCTTGTTTTGGGCACCCTGCTTCTGTAGGGATGTACAAATCACAGACAAGGTCTGAGGACAGGCTCTAAACTACCCGGGAAGAACGGGAAGGGCTCGGCCGGAGGGGAACAGGAGCGGCTGCGGCGCGGAGCTCCGGGAAGGAGCAGCGGGAATCCCACGAGGGGATGGAAACACCCGGGGGTCAAGAGACCCCTGAGGGCTCTGAGAGATCCCGCGGGAGAGGCGGGACTGGGAGGGGAACAGCGGGAATTGTGTTAAAAGATGCCATGGTCCCTGGCCCTGGGACAAACTCTGCTTTGGGACATCAAATTCTGCTCTGGGACAACAAACTCTGCTCTGGGACACCAAAATCTGCTTTGGGACAGCAAACTCTGCTCTGGAATAGCAAACTCTGCTTTGGGACACCAAACTCTGCTCTGGGACAGCAAACTGCTCTGGGACATCAAACTCTGCTTTGAGACCCCAAAATCTGCTTTGAGACACTAAAATCTGCTCCAAAACATGAGCCATGGTGCCTGGCTCTGGGACACCAAATTCTGCTCTGGGACACCAAACTCCACTTGGAAACATGGGTCATGGTCCCTGGCTTGGGACATCAGACTCTGCTCTGGGACACCAAACTCTGCCCTGGGACACCAAACTCTGCTCTGGAACACTAAACTCTGCTCTGGGACACCAAACTGCTGTCCCCCAGACAAGAGCAGGAAGCAAAGGCTTGGCCAGGCTGGGTCACCAGGGAGGGAACACGAAGATGTTTTGTGGGGTGGGGCTGGGGGAGGCCAGCGGGTGCCCGGTTATGGGCAGCGATTTCACCGAGCAGGAAACACCGGGAGAGAGGAACGGGAGAGGCAAAGGAGCACCTGGACACCCCAAACTCTGCCAGGCTCCGATTTCAGGCGCTGCTGGGCAGCTCCCCTCGGGGAAGGGGCAGTTTGAGCGTTACCACCCATCCACACCGAGCGTTTTCCCTGATTCCATTGGGATTCTAAGACATTTCATGGACAAACACCAGGATCAGGCCCGGCCCTCCCCGATGTGCTGCTCGAATGGAGCTGCCCCAACCTCCTGATTTTTGAGTGACCACAAGCAAACCGTCCTGGGGCTGCTTCCACCCTCCCGGTGTTTAATTCTACATTTATCAGTGAATATTTGGGAAGGGGGAGTCTGAGTGGGAAATTCTCCCTGGTGGAACAGGAAGAATCTCTAGGATGCTTCACCCCGACTATTCCAGAATACGAATCCTTGCTCGTGGAGTTTTGGGACCAATTCACCTGGGAGAGAAAGCAGGAAGGCACAACTACGGGAAACCAGAATTCCCAAACACTTCCAGACCTTCCCAATGGAAGGACTTGGGGTAGATTTGGGGCTGGGAATGGGTTGGGCTTGTGGCTTTTGTTCTGCATTTTTGGGTCCGTTTTTGGGTAAGCTCAGACCTGCTGGGGGCAGGTGGGGAAGGAGAAGCTCTGGGGGCTTGGGGAGGGATAGAAAACACCAAGAAAGGAACAAACACACCCCAAGGCTCCCCAAAAGCCAGCCCTAAACCTGTGGCTGTGCTGTCAGAGAGGCACTGCGGGATCCCCACGGGTCCCAGCAAATTCCAGCTGCTTCAGGAACTTCTCTTATTCCTCCAACTGAGCCAGACCCAAATCCATAAGGCAAGGTCTCCTCCTCCTGCCTTGTCCCTCCTCTCCCTCGTCTTGTTCCCATTCCCATTCCCATTCCCGTCCTCGCTGTCCCCGCAGCCCCGCGGGGCTTCCAGGGGAGATTCCTGGGATGCTCTGAGCCAGCTCCGGTTCTCAGGCAGTGCCAAAGGAGCCGCACCACAAAAAATCCCCCGCGGATCCCGGCCCCGGCCCCGGGCCAAGCTGCTCCGTGTGCTGCTAGCCCAGGGAGGGCACTGCTAGCCCAGGGAGGGCACTGCTAGCCCTGTGCACTGCCAGCCCCGGCCCGGGCTCCGTGTGCTGATAGTGATGCCTCAGCATTTCAGTTTTTGTATTTTCATGTATTTGTAACCCTGCAGTTCTTTAGTGTGAAACTCTAAACTCCACACACAGCGTCAGCTGCTGCTCTCCCGTTTTGGTCACACACAACAATTCCTCTCTGGGCTGGCAATCAAGGACACCTCACTGCCTCAGGCCCCGAGAAATGGAAACAAAAGGGAGCTGGGGGAGCAAACTTGGGGTAAATGACTTCATTACCTGAAGCTGTAATTGGAGGATTAACCCCCAATAAACAAATGGGCCAAACTTATAAAAGTGTGAAAACCTGTGACCCATGGTCCATTTTTGGGTGTAGCTCCTGCTCTAAATGCACCTGAAGGCCCTTCAATAAATCTAAATACTTTTTATTCCCTTAGTTTTGTCTGGTCTCTGTTTTTAGGTAGCCCCAAAAGGCATCGCTTGCCGCAGCCCTGCCCTGGACTCCTCTCTGCCTCCCCCGCTCCCTGGGATCAGTCGAGGGCTGTAATCAGTTAAGCCCGGTTTAAGCGCGGTGTAAGAGACCCCGCTCGGCCCGGGGGCTCCGGGAGAGGTCACGAGATGAAATCGCTGCTGAGTCCAGCAAGTGCAGCCCCGAGCGCCAACAGCCCGAGCTGGCCAAAAAAAAGGAAAATCGGGGAAAGGGAAAATCAGCGGCCCTGAGATCTTGCTCGCTCACTTTCCCCATTCCCGGAGGTTTTTAACGGGGGGGTTTCTTTTCCCACCCCAAAGACTGAGCAGGACCCCGGGCGCTCCTTGAGTTTCCTGAGGCTGCCACAGCGGGGGGCGGGGGGGGTTTAAAGTCAGGGCCTCTTTATTCTTCACCCAAAGGAAAATCCCAGCTCCCGAATCCATGGAAAAGCCTTTCCCAGCCCCGCACGTGCTCTCCCTCCCGAGCTCTCTCTGCTGCCCGGGAGCACTGCGGGATTTCGGGAGCTGCTGGCTCGTACCAAACCGGACCCTCCAAACCCCCCCGGAAAAGCGGGAATAGGGGATGAAGGAGCTGCGTCCAGCGCGGAGCAGACTCCGGGAAAAGCGGGAAGGAAGTTTTGGATCCTTGGATCCAACGGGATCCTCGCTGAAATCCAGGATGGAGGAGCACAGCCCCTGGAGCTCAGATGTTCCAGCTCCGACCCCGCTCTGCTTTTACCTTCTCTCCAGAACGGGCCAGTCCCAAGGATGGTCCAGGGAAAGGAGCCCTTTGTGTTCCCTGGTTGTCACCAACAGCCCCAGTTCCATCCCGCGCTTCCCAAAGAGGAGCCTGGGGACACCTGGGGACACCAGGGGCTCTCTGGGAGGGACAGGCCCTGCCCGAGTGAAACTCCAGAGCTCATCCCTGCCCCTCAGACAGGAGAAACCTGGCAGGGCTCACTGCCCCGCACCCCAAATTTCACCTGGCCCTAATCCCAAACTCTGGGCACCACGCGGGGTTTGGGTCTGAGCGGGCACTGCCCCGCCAGATATTGCGGATATTGGGAATAAAACCCGGCAGGATTGATGAAAAACGGCGCAGGCACACAAAGAGCAGAACAAAATCTTTCCCCCGCAGCACTGAGAGCCCCGAGGGAGCGGGGTTTGGATCCCGTCCCTGCCCGAGCCCCCAGCTCTCCAAAAGCCGCTCGGGTGGAGTTCTCCTGCCGGGCTCCAGGTGCTCAAAAGCCGCTCGGGTGGAGTTCTCCTGCCGGGCTCCAGGTGCTCCCTGAAGCAGGGGATGGGATTAATCCCTGCCCGGTGTCTTGGCTCTGCCGTACCTGGGGAGGCAGCGCGAACCTCGCTGAATTCCCGGTGATTATTTATTTGTGTGCTCATCACAAACGGGGGAAGCCTTGGAGGGAGAAAAGCAGAAGCTCCTGGGTTAAAGCCTCCTTCGAGAGCACGATTTGAGATTTTGGCGGCCTCTGAAGGTGCTCAGAAATAAAATAAAATATCTTTTAGAATGACAAAGCAGAGCCACCACGAAGCGACCTGGATCATCAGAGCAGCAAAACGCCTCTTTTTGAACCTCTTTGGGTTTTTTTGTTTGTTTTTTTCTCACGGACACCATCGATGGCCTCGAACGAGGCGATTTTTTTGAGGGGGAGAAGATTCCCTGGTGGAAAGCGGCTGTGCCTCCTTGAAATCAAACCTTTTCCAAGGAAAACAGCCCCGCATCCACCGGGCGGGATCCACGGCGCATCCCTCGCCCTCCCGCACAAACTTCATTCCTTAACCCCACAACTCCCGGCTGAGCCACGAGATTTTTACGAGAATATCTTGATCGAAAACCCGAAAAAAAAAAAAGGCAAATCCTCGCTCTGTGCCCGTGCTGGTGCCAAGGGCAGGAGCGCGGCTGCCACTCCCTCCTCGACGGCTCGAGCGGAGTTTTGGAGGCACCTCCTGCCGCAGAAGTTTAAAAGCACACAAGACTCTGCTGATCCCGAGATAAACGCTGGAAAAGGGATTAGAGCTACTTAGCGGAGTAGAGGGAAGACTCAGGAAGGGCTGATCATTTTAAAGATATGACTATTTAAAGATAATGATTGCATAAATTTAATTAATGCATTTTCATGCCGCAAATGGCCGTTTTGTAATTAATGTATCTGGCCTCGCTAAGCATGGGAGATCACATCTCCCGCCCCCTCCCCTCGCGAGCCCCCCTCCGCCTCCCGTTTAATGAAAGACAGAGAGCAGATGACAGAAACAATTTGTCAGCCCGCGCGGGTGTCAGATGCCTAATTGGTTGCGCTGAGTTAGTGGGAAGGGAAGGGGGAGAGGGTCGGGGCTGGGGGGGCTCTTTCCTCCTCACTCCGAGCTCCGGGCTGCCTGTCCGCGCCGGGAGCGAGGGCCGGGAGCGCTCCCAGTTAATTGGTGGCGATTAGGACACAGATTGGCTGTGGCAGGCGCTGGGCAGTGACAAGCGGGGACACCCGCGCACAGCTGGCACTTGTCACCGCGCCTCGGCTGCCGGCAGCGGGGACAGCGCCCGCGGGGCTGGCCGCATGCTCGGTGCCGTCCCGGTTCCATCCCTCTTCCATCCTGATCCCATCCTGATCCCATCCCGGTTCT